CTGGGGTGGTTTGGAAGACATTTATTATGCTCCTGTTAATCTGTTAGCTCCAGTGCTAACAAAGGTAGGCGTTTGGGCTAAGGGTTAAGATGCTGACATATCAGAGAGCCTGCGTTTTACTTCCAGCTTTGGCTCTCAGTTCTAACTTCCTGCCAATGCAGATCCTGTGAGGCAGCCGGCAGTGACTCAGGTTGTTGGGTCCCTGCCACCCACATGGGAGATCTGGATTGAATTCCTGGTTCCTGGCCCTGCCTGGCCTTGGCCCAGCCCCAGCTGCAGCAGGCAGCTGTGGGAGTGGAGCAGTGTATGGGAACACTCGCTGCTTTTCTTTCTGTGTGTATCCCAGCCTCTGAAATAAGTACATACACATTTTAAAATAGGCAAAATTGATTTTTATAAAAGGAGGATGAGCAAGTTAGAACCATATGTGAAATGAAATCAAATTTTGCTAAGTCCCTACCATACATAAGAGGCTGTGCACTGCATAATAGTCTAGAGGCATTGGTTTCTTGAAATATGAGTTGTTGAAAACAATGTTATGAACATGGAGAAATTAAAAATAATGAAAGAATTAAGATAATACTTCAAGTCCTCAATAGGAGGCAATAATTATAGAAGTTTCAGCTCTACGAGAGATGGGTCTGGCCCAGCATTTCTTTTTACTCTTTAAGGTTTATTTATCTGAAAGTCGCAGTTACAGAAAGAGATAAAAAGAAGCAGAGAGAGAGGGAGAGAGAGAGGGAGAAAGATCCAATTTCCTTTTTCATTACCCAAATGACCACAGGTGTTGGAGCTGGGCCTTCTGAAACTAGGAGCCCAGAGCTTCTTCCGGATCTCTCCAAGTGGATCCAGAGGAAATATTCCTTTATTTTGCCAGGCCTATTAGCAGGAAGCTGGATCAGAAGTGGAGCAACAGGAACATGAACTGGTACCCATATGGGACTCTGCCATCACAGGTGGAAGTTTTACCTACTGTGCCACAGTCCCAGTCTCTGCCCAGAGAAACAACAGCCAAAGAAAAGGAAGTGTAAACAGGACGCAGCCTGCTTGAAGATTTGCACACACAGTTATCTGCAGAGCTGGCAGCAGAACTCAGGCCCCTCCAGCCGATATTGCCTTTTTTTTTTTAAAGATTTATTTTTATTATTTTTTCATTGGGAAGGCGGATATACAGAGAGGAGAGACAGAGAGGAAGATCTTCCGTCCGATGAGTCACTCCCCAAGTGAGCACAACGGCCGATGCTATGCCGATCCGAAGCCAGGAGCCTCTTCCGGGTCTCCCACGCGGGAGCAGGGTCCCAAAGCTTTGGGCCGTCCTCAACTGCTTTCCCAGGCCACAGGCAGGGAGCTGGAAGGGAAGTGGGGCTGCCGGGATAGAACCGGCGCCCATATGGGATCCTGGGCATGCAAGGCGAGGACTTAACCACTTGCGCCACCGCGCCGGGCCCCGATATTGCCTTTTGATGAAAAGTCTCAGGCTGTCTCCTGATATCTGCCAAGTGAGCCGCACAGTCAGCTCATGATAGAGGCATTCAAAGCAGGAGCACTTGCTCAAGGCTGGCGAAGGATTCAAGGAGAAGGAGCCGTTGTGTCATGGCTTGGGTTTAGAGAGATGAGAGAGTGAAGGGCTCTCCCGTAGGCTACAATCTCATATGCAAACCCAGAGAGAGGAATGAGGAGTGTTGTTTATAGGAGCCCCGGTTTTATCAGCTCTGAGCCTCTGAACCCCTTCGAGCCTCCCTCATGTTCCCCATCTCTCAATTCTCCCGGATGTGGTTCTTGCCCTCCTCTCTCTGCTGCCATGTGAGTGCTGATTCTCTTTTGGTAAAATTTTACTTATTTTCATTTTATTTAAAAGGTAGACACACACACACAGAGAAAGAGAGAGAGAGAGAGAGAGAGAGAGAGAGAGAGAGAGACTTCCACGTGCTGTTCACTCTGCAGATGGTAAAATAGCCAGAAGGACTGGGCCATTGTGTCTTAGTTGAAGCTGAGAGCCTCGAGCTCCATCCTGGCCTTCCACTTGGATGGCAAAGACATAAGCACTTGGCCCTCATCCCCTACGGTCTCTCAGGGTACACATTTGCAGTCCAAAGTGGAAGGGATTCAAGCAGGCACTGTAATAGGGCGTCAGGCGTTCCAAGCAGGGACTTAAGCTCTGTGCAAGATATCCTCTCTGTGAGTGCTGGCTCTGGTCATTTCTCAGCTGCTCTTTTCATCTCTCTGGCTCCACTTCCATCCAAGCTTTCACTAACATCTCTCACCCCACAGTCTAATAATCAGTATTCTATGCTCATACTGAGGTTTTTCTTGCTTTCTATACGTGAGAAACAACATATACTATTTTTTATTTCTGTGTCTTACTTGTTTTTACTTAATGTCCTTTACTTCCATCCAGTTTGTATAAATCATTGCATGACAGGATTTCGTTTTTTATAGCTAAATCTATTTCATTGTGTGCATGTAGGTATTTATGTAATTCATGGGTGTCTTAAATGCATCGATCTGATATTGGGCACTCAGGTTGAGTCTGTATTTTGACTGTTGTGAATAGCGCTGCTATCAATATTGTGGTGAGGGAATCTCTTTGATAACAACATGTTCATGTATTTTGGATATTTATCTAGTAGTGGGATTATCGAGCCATATGGCAGTGTTATTTTGAACTTTGAAAGAAATTTCCAAATTGTTTCCAAAAGTGGATGCACTCATTTATCTTCCCAATAGCAAAATACAAGCATTCTGCTTTCTCTGCGTCCTCACCTGAGTTTGTTGCTTTTCTGTCTCTTCAACAGAAGCCGTTCTGGCAGGGTGGGCTGATTTACATTTCCCTGATGTCTAGGGATACTGAGCATGTTTTTTGTGCGTCTTTTGTATTTCTGTATGTTTTCTTTTGAGAACTGTCTATTGAAATATATTGCCCATTTCTTAACTGGATTGACTTTTTGTTGTTGAACTTTTGAGTTCCTGATGTGTTCCAAATATTAATCCTCTGTCAAACTGCAAATACTCTCTCCCATTCTATTGCATGTGTGTTCACTCTTTTGATTATTTTCTTTGCTATGTGGAAGTTTCTGAGTTTGACATACTTCTTATTTGTCTAGTTTTGATTTTGTTGCTTGTGCTTTTGGGGTCTTGTCCAAGAATTTGCTGCCTCCACCAATGTCTTGAAGCATTTATCCTGTGCTTTCTTCTGACAATTTCATAGTTTCAGATCTTTTATTCTGATCTTTGATGCATCTTGAGTTGATTTTTGCATATGGTGAGAGATAGGGATGTAATTTCATTCTTCTACATGTGTATGTGCAGTTGTGCCAGCACTATTTATTGAAAAAATGTCTTTTACCAATTTATATTCTTGGCACCTTTGTCAAAAATCAGTTGGCTGTATATGCATGGATTAATTTCTGGGCTCTCTATTCTGTCCCATTGATCTCTGTGTCAGTTTTTGTGCCACTACCATGCTGTTTTAATTACTACAGCTTTTTAGTATGCTTTGAAATCAAGTAATGTGATGCCTGTAGCTTGATTTTTTTTTCCATTCAGGATTGCTTTGGCTATTCTGGGTATTTTGTGGTTCCAAATGCATCTTAGGATCATTCTTCCTTATTCTGCAAAGAATATGATTGATGTTTCAGTAGGCATTACATTGAATTTATAGCTTGCTCTAAGTAACATGAACATTTAACTCCATGAATACAGATTATTGATCAATATGATGATGTTATTTTTTGATTATATAAACATTATATGAAGCTTGTATATGAAAACATTCTTTTAACGATTTCAGTTATATTTTAGGATGTGTGTGTGTGTAAATTCACTACCACCAATGTACAACATTATTACCGTATGCTATAAAACATGTATAAAATATGTAAACTTTTATAGAAACACATAGGAAAGGCAATGATCAATCTCAGTATCTACCACATTTTCCGAGATGTTAAAAAGAAATCCAGTATTACGTTATAGACAAAAAAAGTCAACCCCTTAGCCAATTCTCACCTTATATTTTTAATCCTTTTGAAGTTTGCATTAACACAAGGACCTACATATCTTCTAGTGTCTAGTGCGATATTTCAACAGATAGATACAGCATGAACCAATGATAATAGCAACTGGGTTCTGCGTTGACTTGGTGGCAGATGACATTGATCGTCACTATTATATGGAGCATAGAACACATGACCTTATCACTCAGTCTTATCACATCCACCATTTCCAGACTCTCACATCTGGGAAGCTTGTGAAACATGCACACTTGGGGATCACCCTTTTGCCTGCTGGTGGGAGTAGGCCTGGCCACTTTCAAAACTGTTATTGTTGATTTAAGTTGTAGGTTCTCCCAGCAATTCCAAATACTCTGTGTGGACCAACCGTGGCAGGACAGCGCCACAGGCCAAACAAAGTCCACTCTGAGAATGGGTTCAGATACTCTTCTTTAGTATTCTTTTCTTAAGCCCTTGTGAGAATAATTCACCTACATGCTGCAGTTCGACTTCCCCAGGGAATAAATAGCCTGGGTTCAATGTGTGTTTTAGGCCAAGTTTATTCATTCCTGATATTAAAGACCATATTTAGTTATTTATTTATTTTTATTTTAATTTACATCTCATTTGAAAGGCAGAAAAACAGACAGGAATAATTTTCTTCCTGCTGGTTTACTTCCTAAAAGTGAGCACAGTTAAGGCTGGGCCAGGCTAAACTCAAGGGCCAGGAACATTTTCCTGTTTTCCCTGTGGGCGCAGGGGCCCAAGAATTTGGACTTTCTTCTCCTCCTTCCCCAGGTGCATTAGCAGGTAGCTAGATAAGAAATGGAGCCGCTGTGACTCCAGCCAGTGCCCATAGAGCATGCCGGCACTGCAGGCAGAGGTTTAACTGGCTGTGCCACACCACTAATCCTTTTAATAACATTTCCTTTTAATACTGACCTAAGGGGAGACCCAACTGAAGCCAAATCTTACAATGTAAGTCTTCCCTTTGTGCTCTCCTGCCAGGCTGTTTGCTGTCAAGTGCGGGGGCTGCTTCGAGGCCATTGCACCCAATGAGTTTGTTATGCGGGCCCAGAAGAGTGTGTACCACCTGAGCTGCTTCTGCTGCTGCGTCTGTGAGCGACAGCTACAGAAGGGAGACGAGTTTGTCTTGAAGGAGGGACAGCTGCTCTGCAAAGGGGACTATGAGAAAGAGCGGGAGCTGCTCAGCCTGGTGAGCCCAGCAGCCTCAGACTCAGGTGAGTGCTGATGCAGTGGGGGACTGGGGCCTTCTACCCCTTCTGGGTCTTCCTTCCCAGAGGGACAGCTGTGTGCACAGCCTTGCTCCAAGGCAAGGCAGTTCTGGATATTCTGGCAACTTTCTTTGTAAGTCTTGAGTGTTTCTTCTTAGTAACTGCATAACCAACTATGCAACAATTCCATGGAATACAACCATAGACATGTAAACATTCAAAGACCTCTGGGTTGAGTGGAGTGACTGCTTCAGGCCTAAGATTTTCAGGCTAGCTACTGATAGCTGGGCTGAGCTCTGAGTTGCAAAGCAGGTTCTGATCTCCTTTACGGGATTCATTCTGGGGTGCAGGTTTGTGGAGCAGCAGCTGCTGGTATTTCTTGGTGGTAATCTAAGTGCAATAAAGTATGCCCAACCATATGGACATGTTTCACACATCCTCATGTCTTCTTATGTCCCATTGGCCAGAACAAAGGTTAGGATCAGCTCTATGGCCACTGGAAGGGGACATGCACTTAATTCAGTGTAGAACCTTGCCAGGCCTCCATGCATCATTACCTCACACACTGTATACAGATATGCAATAGTGTTCTAGGCAACAATGAACTAGAACCCACAATTCAGTCTACCACAATCATTCAGCAGTTCCAAGACTCTGTCTTCTCATGGGTAAGATGTACTCCATCATAGGCTTGGTGGGTCCCATAGAGGAAAGAACTATAATGTAAGAGGGAGCCTCTGAAAGCTCATAGGGAATTCACATAATCTTTTAACTGCACCTTTTTGCAAACTGTTGGAACCTTTGCATGTGTTTTTCTTGCCCATCACCCACCCAAGTCTCAGCCATCACTGTTCTGGAGGAAGGAGAAATGGAGGAGAACAGAGGGGGTCAGAGATGCTACAGAGTTCTTTCACAAGGCCGGGGAATGAGATTACACGAAGCTGGGTCAACGTTGCCTTTCCAATGAGAGTGTTGTCCCCACAGATGGGTGTTTGTCTTCTCCCCAAAACTAAGACCCAGGGAGGCTAGACCTGTGAGAGACTCAGGTGCCTTCTCCAGGTCTTGCACTGTCAGCTCCATTTCACTCTCATGCCCCTTAACTGGTGTCCAGGCTCTCTCGGAGGCTTCACGCTGCCCATTTGCTCAGCTATTGGGAGAGCCTGTGTCCCTTCCATTCTGACTTCGAAACCTAGCACTGTCATTCACTTACTCGCTAGTCTTAAAGGTCTATGTTTTCCCTGTTACTCTCAATTTCTCTTGTCTCAATAGCATATCCTCTGAGCTTCCTCCTACAGGCCACTTCATCAGAGAGCCTCCCACTCCCTAAGCTGGCTGAGCATACCCTTAACTTCTTCAACTGCAACACTATCCCAGGCCATTGTGCCTGAGTGCATGGTTGCTTGTTATTCTTGCCAGAGCAGTAAGCTCCATGAGGGACAGCGTGTGTCCCTAGGGCTTAGCATAGGCCTGGAACATTGGAAGCACCAGATAAACTGTTAAAGAATAAATAAACACATGAAACAAGAGTATCCCTGCATGGTGCTTCAGTGAAAGAACTTGGGAGGCAGGCAAGTGGGTGGCTTTTCCTGGCCATCCCATTTATGTAAATGTAACTTTGGGTAAATTTCTGAAGCTCTATGAGCCTCAGTTTCCAAGGCTGTAGGATGGTGGATAACGATGCTGGCCAAGTATGCGTATGTTGGGCAATAGAAGATAAAATGCATACAAAAAGTTGGTGTTCATTCACTGCCGGTGCTTGACATCTGCTGGCTGGGGTCAGCAACCTCATAGCAGTTGTGTTTTTGCTTCCTTTGCCTCCCAGTTGGCTTTTCCCACCTGACCCTGCTTGCAGTCTCAAGTAAGCTGACACCAGGACAATCCTGATTTCTACTGGGCTCCTTGGTTGTAACATTTTCCTGGATTTGTTTTAAGCTGGGGGAAATTTCTCTTTGTCAGAACACTGGCGCTAGCATAGTGAATAACTCCTTCTGGGGGAATTAAGCCTATTCTTAACTGAACTTCTTGGTCCAAGCTTGGGATAAGATCAGCCTACCCTGTCATTTCCCATCAGATGTCTTTCTTTGCCCTCCCACGTATGCCTGCTTCCCAGAATATTGCAAAATCTTTAAAATCCCAAAGAACTTAGGTGCTGTGGTGATCAGAATGCCAAAGATGTGCACACCCAGAGGGACATATATCTGCTAACTGCCAGGGAATACCCTTCCTCCATATACATATGTGTGGTGTTTGATCACTAGGTTATCCATTTGGCCTCGGATATTAACTGCTGCAAATACAACAATTGTATAATTATCCTTCCCATTGTTTGCCAAAAAGAGACAAAAATAAAGAAGCTAGATCTAAGCAATGCTCATACAATTATAATTGTCAGATCAAAGAAACTGCAAGAAGACATTTTGGCACTTTTTAGCAATAGATTTATGTTTCTAAGTATTTCTCTATGTGGCTGATATTGGAGAACTAGAACTTTCCATTCATTAACTTCTGCATTCATTCAACAAAGGTATATCATGAATGCTTGTGCATGCCAAGCATGGAGTCATTGTATGAATGACAAGAAAGGTTCAGAAGTAGGCAGGTCTTACAACCATGTCAAAGGAAGGCATTAAAAATGTTCAGGCTAAAAAAATAAAGACTGAATGCAAACACCATTGTTGCTTGCATCACTTCTGAGAGCAGAATTAGAGTTTATTCACAGAATTATGTAATAAAACAGCTGAGTATTTACAATATATACAGAAAGATACTAGAAGCAGATTCTGACTCAGAGAATGTTGGGAGCCATTTTAATTGTAATTCTGACAAAGAGTTGGGCTACTTAAGAAATCAGCCTTTCAGGTTTGGAAACCAGTATTGTTGGAATGGAAAGTGAAGGCGGTTCCAGAGGACCTGTGTCATCCCTTTCATCTCTAAATATCTTTGATTGTAAGTGAAGTTACAGTAAAGGTTCAACCAGAGTCAAATAAATTGCCCCTACCACTGATTCTCTCAGTTATAGAAAGGCTGTTTGTCTTACATCATAAAGTGTTTTGTTAGCCAAACCTTGCTTCACTAGTGAGAGGACACATTTCTAGAGGACCAGGCTGTGGCATTTAATTTCTTTTTTTCCCTTAATAAAGCTTAGCATGATGTCAAGAGAAGTACAGATGACAGATAGGTAGCTAATGAGTTGAATTAGCTCTTTAAAGAAGGAAGGCCACTTCATGTTACAGAGAACAAACAAACAAACAAAATTAGGGTCAGTCCCAGTACAAATAAAATTTCTCACATGATTTCTGTCTTGAGTGTCTTACAATGTTGTTGGTACTTGACAAATACTTCATGAATGAATACATGACTAACCTGTCCCATTAACTTTTTAGAGTGATTTTGATAAAGACACAGAAGGCAGGTTTATTCAATTTGAAGATGACACAAATGTGACAGGGAATGCTGTTCTGACAGCTGATACTCTTAATGTTCAAAAAGATTTTGACAACCTAACAGAACAGCACAACATCAGCAAGACGAAATATAACCACTGGATTCCAAAATTCAATACCAAGTGTTGTGTATGGAGCCTTTTCTATGGAATTTCATAGAAATTTCATGTGGGACTATACTTGCTAATGTCAACAAGATTCAAAAGGATGCATGCTTCACTGATAGAAATATGGTTGGTGTCTCCAACATGTAATTTTAATTGTATTATTATTTTTCACATTGGTCAGAATGCATTTAGAATATTTGGGCTAATTTTAAATGGTGCATTTGAGGAAGCCACTAGATAAAGTCTTGGCAAGAGGAGTTAGTTTGTTAAATTGTGTATTAGCTTTGTAAAATTAAGGCTGTGGGTGGGCATTGTGGCACTGAGTGTTCAACCTCTTCTTGGGACACCCTTATCCTGTATCAGGATAGATAAGTTCAGGTCTGGCTAGTATACACCCAATCCAAGTTCTTGCTACTGTGCCTGGGAAGACAGCTGATGACAGACAGCCCAAGGGCTTGTGTCCTGGTCGTTCACATGGGAAAGCTAGGTGGAGCTCCTGGCTCTTGACGTCAGGCTGCCTCAGCACTAGCTCTTGTGGGACAGTTGTAAAGTGAAGTAGTGGATGAAATATTTCTATGTCTCTGTCATTCTGCCTTGCAAAAAAAAATTACACAATATAAATCTTTAAAGAAAAAAACAAAGCTAGGGGATAAAGGAATCACATCTAAGGTTACACATCCATTTCACTGGGAGTTTTGGGCTCTGAGTAAAACTGCATCTGTAAAACACGCTTTGTTGTTACTTCAATGACAATTCTCCAGTGAATTTCAGCTTGCAGTTTGGAAGTTCCAGTTCAGGATCAGGTGACTCCTCAGTGTGGTTTCTGGTGGAAGCAGATCATCTTGGACGCAGTGAAATATTGTAAGTTAGAGGAAGGAGAAGCTAGACAGAACCTGAACTCCAAGAGCCTCACCTTCCATCACATGCCCCTAGTGACCTAGTGATCTCCCACTAGAACCACCTGTCATACACCATAATTAGATCAAGTCTTGGTCCAGCAACTACTAATATTAAGGCATCACCATTTAAACATCTGCGTGAATCTTTGGCAGACAGGACCTACTCAATCCACAACACTTCCTTTAAGTAAATGAACTTGCTTCTCTTTTGATTTTAATTATAGATGGTAGAGGATTTTGTTAGTGGCATCTAAGACTGCTGGAAGCTAGGATTCAATCTATCATTTCAGGATATTGACTCAGCTGTGGTACACAGCAGCATGTGTCACAGTCACAACTACATGGGACACCTAACTTAGGAGGCTTCAACTGCTATTTACACTTCTCTGGTGTGGCCCAGCCTCTTTTTGTCAGTGGTATTGAAACAGCCTCCAAGGCAGATGAGTGAAAGCTTTGGCCAGAGCCAGAGAAATTTGTTCGGGGTCACTGGAAAGCTTGAATACCCAGAGTCTTCAGGAAACACCTTGTAAATACTCACGCTTGATCGCTTATCTTCC